ATATACTAACATTTTGATTTGCTTGACGTAATGCACGTTGTTTATCCATTTCATGGACAAAACGTTGTAATTTTTCAATTGATGTCATACATGATGGTGGTAAACGTTTATCATTCAATGTATGATGATAATTTTTATTTTTACGTTGAAATTCAAATTCAGCAGGACGAAAAAGTGTTCCAAATAGAACAATTGTAAATAAAACACCGGATAAAAATAATATTGTTTCTTTCCAATCACCATAATAGTCATTTAATACATGAATTAATTGAGCAACAACAGCATTTCCAATACCTAAAAATTAATAAATAATTATGAGTTGTTTTTTTTTCAAAAATCATTTTCGTATTACAAACCAGTTCCACCAACAGCAACAGCTGTTGCTATAGCACGATTTTCATCAAAATAATGTGCTACAATAACAACTGCTGGAACATAAACACACGATAAACCAATACCTATATCGATATATAAATTAAGAATAAAAAAGAAAATTCATTATTGATTAAATATTTTCTTACCACAAGTTATTCCAATACCCATGAGTGCACCAATAAAATTACCAAAGTATGCAGCAACAAATAGACCAATAGAACAAAGAAGACCACCTAACATTGTCATAATACGACATCCAACTTTATTCACCATTGCACTACATAATGGTGCTAATAAAAGTGGTAAACTAGCAAATAATGATGCAATTATACCAACAGTATGTAATTCAAGATTAAGATCATCTTTAATTAAATGCATAAGCATACCAAATGAAAATAAAAGTCCATCGGCAACAAAATGAATACAAAATGAACCAAATACAATTACCCATCGCCATGATGTTGTACGACGAATAACAGTTCGAGATGATGAACTATCAGTTGTATTTGATACATGACGTTGTCGACGTTTTTGTCTACCTGTACATATTGGCACTAATTGGAAAGATGGTGATGATGATGATGCTTTAGATAGAGGTGGTGGTGGTGATGATGGTGTTTGTAATGAATCATCAGATAACATATTGTTAATTGTATCCATTTTAATAGTTTGTTAATCATGCAGCAATTTTCTTTTTGAAAGAAAATTTGTTTAAGTTTGTTGAACAATGAAGTATAATCAATAAAATGATAGTCCGATGAATTTTTTTTAACAATTAAAAAATAATGAATCGAAGTTGCCATGCACCTCGACGGTGCTATTTATATATTTGTCTAAAATTATTACTATTTATTATGATTGTAATACAGTAAAAAACATTTTTCTAGCCTAAGCAGATACGAATAAAAAGAAGAACGCATAAAGGCGTCATTAATGCTGTCTGTTTTATAAAAAAAAAAAAAAGAAAAAGAACCATTTTGTTCGTAGTTGTAAACAATAATAGCAACATCACATGATAAGATCACAGGGGAAAACACGCGAAGGAAGGCAAAATCTATCGGTCTAGCAAAGAGTACAAGCAAGAAAAAATCAAACAAGCATATCGATTTGTTATTTTCGCTTTCATTTGCAAGTGTTCGCATAGTAAAAAAGAAATACAATGTATATTTTTCTGTTGTTGTCTTCTTTTTGATTCGCTAACAAGGATAACAAAAACAGTAAATGAATAATATAACAAAAAAAAAAGGATTTATCAAATTCATTCACGCAGATAAGAAGAATATTTATTTTTTTAGCAAAACATATCCAATTGATTTGCTCGGAAACTTATATAAAATAAATGGAACAATAAAATAATAACAAAATTAAATGAAAAAAATTTTCTTAGAGATTTGATATATTATTAATATAGCAAACATTCAATTTAATTAAAATGAAAAATATCAATGAAACAAAAAAAAAACAGGAATGTCATTATTATTCGATCGAGCATGAAATTTTATTTTTATTAATTTCCGAACTCGAATATACTCCATTACAAGTGAATTAATTCAAAAAAACATAGAATTGTTAGTGAATTGATCACTATCTAATTTACAATACGAATTTTGCTCTTACCTACTATTGTTAATGATTTGGCTATTTATATGAAAATCATTACACATTGAACCAGAATACATATTGTCGACGCTAACTTCTATTATATATGTATGTTATAGACAACATTAGAATTCTAATATTCACTAGAGACTCATCAATCAGGACTAGAGCTTCATTTATGTCTGAGCTCAATTAGAAATAGATTAGAAACAAGCTCATGCAATCGTATGCTTTACTAAAACTAGAATGAAATAACAAAAAAAAAAGAGAAATCTATAGTTGATAGGGGTCGTGCCGATAAGTAGGGTAAATATAAATCTAGTCGGGACAATTTAATAAAAAACATGTCTGCATGACATTCAATAACCGGTCGCGCTTGCAGCTGTAGGCGGAAGTACACTACAAAATTATATTTGTGTAAAAGAAAAATAGAATTCCTTTTTTTCTTTTTCTTTTTTTGTTCAAAACAATGTCATACGATACGAGGTGTTTAAGATAAATATGAGTGGATAGATAAAAAAAGTTTTTTTTTTTTGTTAATTGTTTCTTGAAATGGAAAAATATTGTTGAACAAAAACAAATATTTATTATATTCAGATTTTTATTTTTTGATGCGATGGATTTATAACTAATAGAATTCTAATTTAGCCTACTACATATATGGTGAAATGTTGAAATTATCTAACAAGAAAATCATTTTGTGTATATTTCTAAAACTAGATAAGATAGAATGATTTGATTTTTGTCAGATTATATGCCGTAATATCTAGTCTACTAATCAAAAACATTATATTAATCTATTGATCTCTTTATTTTTTATTTTTTATTTTTTTATTGACAATACAATCACAGCATGTCGTTTTTTATCTTTTCAAAAATATCGAACTATTTATATTAGCAAACTGCTGCTGGTCTAGTCAACGTTGAAATTTTCTTGAAAAAACATAATTCAATACTAACCTATATTAGAAATATGTCTACATTAATCACAGCTAAACTTTCCTATATGATTTGATTTATGCATTAAAAGTAATATAAACAAAAAAAAAATTGTTTTCATAGGAGTAAATTTTTTTAGCAGAATTTTTTTTTCCAAATAAAGGTCTTATATTCGAAATCAAGACCATTTATGTCATTGAAATTATATACGTTTGCTACGTTATCTATAACAGGAGTTAAAAGCTTATCATAGTTTCAATAACAGTATGGATTATGTATTTGAGCAAATAACAATGTATCAAAGGAAACTTAACATAGGACATTGTTCTAAATTTCATGTTCTTTCAACAAAAATGTGACCCGTCAAAATTAGTTATGTATTTAATGAGATCTATGCTTCGACTATTGTAGACACTACAGTAAGCTTTTAACTCTTGATATATATATATAATTAAACGAGGGTATATAACTTAAATGATTTAAAAGATTTTGATTTCGAATACAAGAGTTATTATATATTGCAAAAATTCTCTCAGAAACCTACCTTAATAAAAAAAATTTTTATATATCTTCTTTAATACATGAATGGCATTATACAAGAAGAACTATCTGTGTATTAATGTAGACCAACATGAAATATCTATTCAAATATAATAATTCATGCAATCAGTAATACTCTTTCAATTAATGTATTGAATAATAAAACTAACTACTCGTTCTATAAAGAAAATGTTTTTTTTTGTTTTCTTCTTTATTGGAAATTTCCAATATAGGTTAAAAAAAAACATTGCATTTAAAAGCATACTCAATGACAAATTACAATAAGAAGTACTTCTTACTTAAAGTACGATTTGTTCTATTGAATTATGTATTGTAAAGAAAATTTTAACCTTGAGGTGACACGCAGCATTTTGCAAATATAAATGGTTTGATAATTTTGAAAAGATGAAAAATAGCATGCTGTGATTGTATCGTCAGTAAAAATAAATAAATAAATAAAGAGATCATATGGATTAGCGTAAAATTTTTTTACTAGTTGACTAGAGATTTTGATATATAATCTTACAAAAATCAGATCAATCTAGTTTATCTAGTCTTAGAAACATAAATAAAATAAAATAATCTTCTAAGTAGATAATTGTGATAGCCATTATATATTTATATTGAAATCGAAAATATTTTATTTATTACAGAAAACTATTATTTGATAATGAAATATTGTTGAAAATGATTGAAGCTGTACGGTATTCATTTATTACCATACTATATATTTTTCTTTTATAATCTGAAAAAAAAATGCGAATAGAATTTTTTTTTTTTATAAAGATTTTACCCATCTTGTTTCCATTGTTATTTTTCGCGAGATGACAAAAAAAGACAGAGAGAAAAAAAAAAGTTCCATGATATAAGACCGAAAGAAATAGATGTAGAAAAATAGCCATAATATTTCTATAGAATAAAGCAACAAGATATTGAAGTCTGATGTAGCATCTGACATAAATCTTAAGGAATGTACGTAGTACTGTCGTACAATGAACTAAAAGTTTGATAAAACAAACTAAAATTTTCACAATGAAAATTTTCATTTCCTGTATAGATAGTAGATGAACATCGAGGTATACATTAATCTAAATGAACAATAGATGTTAACCACGAACAAACAATCAATATGAAATATTACACAGACAAAAAAACAAAAATAAAAATTTTCATAGGCAAAATTTCAATTGTTACGAGAACTTTTAGTTTCTTATATTATAGTACAAATCAAGAAGGAAACAAAACAAAGAACATTTTGACAAATAAAAGGCATAGAAAGTTCGCAATAGAAACAAGAAATGAAAATACATAAAATTTTGTAAGATGTATGTATGCAAATTATATAACCGGTGTGAAAAACATACTTGTTTTTCAAATTCAATTAAGTAATTACATAAAAAAGAAAAGAGTTTGATTTATATATTTAAAAAGAACAAGCAAGAATTTTTTTTGTTAACGAAAGACTACTAGTAATGATGATAATGAATAGATGTAACACATAAGAAAAACCAAACAAAAAACAAAAACAAAAAAAAAGAAATCATAAATCAATCTGTCGGATATCGAACTTTATCAAACCAACTATTGAGCGTCGTACGTGCTTGTTTGATAAAACCTGGTAAGCAATATTCATTTGGTAGTGCTTGTTTTACATTTTCTTCAAAATAAGAAAAAAATGGAAACCATATTCTCATTCGATTTTTATCTCGTTGGAAATATGTTCGATTATTAGCAAGACTAAATAAATAATTCTCTTTTATTTTACTTCTTGTTAAAAAAATAAATCTTACGTATGATAATAAATAAATAAACGAGAACTAAGTACCCATGCAACAAGAATATCAATTGAATAATGTTGATGACCAGCCAAAATAAAAAACATACCAGTTAATGCCATTATCCAACTGAGAAAATGAAGTAGACGATATGAACGTGGTGAATCTTTAAAAAAAAGAAAATTTTAATTCTTTACATTTTCTTTTTAATTTCAAATATATTACATATTGTAAATTTATATCGATTCTAGAACTTTGAAAATGTATTCAAATAGAAAATGACAGTTCCGATTCGGAATCATTCATTCTTATTTTTCATATCCTTATTATCTCTTTCAATTCAAATGTTCTGAATTTCCTTCTAATCTCCGTATTTAAAATCCTATTAATATAGAAATTTATTGTACAATTAAAATAATTGAATTTCATTAAAATTTTTAATAAATATTGAATCTCTTGTTTTGAATATTTGAAAAATTCAATATCAAAAATTTTTTTTTATCTATTTGTTTAATGATCAAGGAAAATTTTGTTTTTTTTTTATTTCAAAATACATACATTCGTTGATAAAATGTGTAGCAAGGATAAGTGTACATGTATGACCACTATATAAATAATCACCACAGGTTTTAACACCAAATGATGACATTCCCTGACCAAGAAAAATTAAATTGGCTTTTTTTAAACGAGCACCAAAACTACTGAATCTCTATTTATGAAAAAATACAAAATATGACAAAAAAAATATACATATATATATAAATCTTTCAATATTTCAAACCTCAGGTCGACAATCAGTGATTTCTGTAGCAACTGGTAATGATGTAAAAACTAGTGTAAGACTTCGAAGAAAATATAATGCAGCTGCTATTGCAAATAAACGACGAAGTATGATCAGCCTAAAATATAAAGAAAAAAAACAAAATTCTTGTTTTGTTTTTGTTTTCTCTTTCTTATTTAAATTCAATTATCAAACATTAATATTTATGTAAGTATTTGTTATTAAACCGCACCAAAACTAAAGTCAGTATCCTAGTGTCTTATTATTGTTGTATTTATTGAACTCAATTACTTACCATTAATTATAATATCATACTACTATAATTTAAATAATCTTATAGATAAATGAAAAATATATATTTTAAGATAAATATGTATATATTTACCTATGTCGATGAAGAATAATAATTGTTATAAGTGTAGCCATTTCAATAACAATAATTTTTTCTGTAACAGAAAATGCCCATGGTATTTGTTTAACATTATCAAGTACAAGATCGGGTAATGGTGGAAAATTTCTTGGATCTGGCAAACGTTCATCAACAATAGTTATCATAAATGAACAAAAATATAAAGTACAAAAAGCAAGAAGAAATGCTGATAAAGTCTTTTTTCTATCAGAACGCATTGAACTAACAAAACAACAACCAGCTATTGGTTGATCTTCAATTTGATCAGATGGTGTATGATGTAAATTTAATAATGTATTCGTTGTACGTTGTGGTGTTGTTGTTGTTGCTGTTGTTGTTGCTGTTGTTGTTGTTGATGATGTTAGTGGAAGAAGATTTACAGATGTATTTGATGTTGATACACTACGAGAAGTTCTTCGTTGATATTGTTGATGATTTTTTGTACGTGTTATAGTTGAAGGTGAACGTTCAAGAATCATTGCTGATGGTGTTACTGTTTGAGTTTGATTTGTTGATAATGGGACAGAAAGATTTTGTTGTTGTTGTTGTTGTTGTTGTTGATTTTGATTTTGATTGATTTGTATTGTTGTATGTGTTACTGATGGTGTTGTTGTTGATGATGATGATGTAAATGATGTTTGGGATTGTGTTGATGGCATTGGCGATGATGAAAATTGTAATGGAGGTGATGTTGGTCGAATTTGTATTACTGGTTGAACAGGTCGTAATGATATAGATGTTTGTAATGATGATGAAGCTAAATGAGGTGATGGTGTAAGTGGTAGAGATTGTGATTGTTGTTGTATTGATTGTCTTTGTGTCCATAAATGATAATTACTTGAATAAAATTGTTGTAATTTTTTAATTTGTAACCATAATTCATGATTTTTATTTGTACCTTTTAATTGTAAAACATCATCTTCGTTTAAATTCATTAAACGTTGTCCATTCATACGATGTTGATGACAAATTAAATCAATACAATCATTTAAATCATGCTCTATAAGCCATTCTTCAACTTGTTTTATTGACCATGTACATGGATTTGATGGTATTAATGATGATGTTAAATATGATGATGGAGGTGAAGAATGTAAAGTATTGGATGGTATTATATTATTTGTTAATTGATGGGAATTAACAGATGGTGTTGAAATGAGCATGATTTTAGATGATATTTTGTTTCTAAATAAAAATGATAAGATTCGTTTTATATAGATCATTATGATTAAAATAGTTAACCATATGATTGAGCTATATAGAAATAGAATAAGACTATGATTAAATATGAAAGAGCAGAAAAATCTACACAATACGTCTCATTTATCTTCTGTCAAATTATATGGAAAGAAAAAATGCCAATGTTTGATTAAAATGTCACAAAAAAAAAACCTAGGGACTGAGAGAAACAGAGAGAAAGATCTCATAAATTGATGATGGATGATACTGAAATTCATTAATAAAAATCATATTTAATTTCTTACGGAATATTTGTTTTTTTTTTTTTTGTGAAATTTTTGAGGTAAATAATTTGTCACGAGAGGAAAAAATTATCTACATAGATTTTTTTCTTATTTATGTAGTTGAATTTTAACTACATTGGACATGCAATGAGGTTTGGATAGAGTAGAACGAGTAATTGATGTTGACACTTGTTCTTGCATTAAATGGTAAAGCTTCAATGCTTATACGCGTGCGTTTTTCTTTTGTGCTTAACCTATGCTATAACTCGCTCTCTTCTTTGCTGTTTTGTTACCTTTTTCTACATAGATTATTTAACTCCGACAGTCGATGTGACAATGTCATCGATATTAATCAACTTGATCGAAAGAGATGACGAGAGCTTCAATTTCTACACTGATTAATGATAAAAAAAAAGAAAGAAAATCTGACAAGAAAAAAAAAATTACTAATATTCTTTCTACACATAGATTAACATTGTCTTACAAAAATTAAACAATCGAAAAAAAAAAAAACATAATTTATTATTCAGTAATACATGTCATGTTTTCTAATACCTGATAATAAAATAGACATGGACTGAAAATATTTTATTTCTATTCGAAAAGAAAGTCAATATAAGTCAATCTATTACTAAATAAAGTGTGGCCAGTATTTACAAACCGACCTTCGACTCTATCTCAAATGACAAATAAAGGTACTCGTTTTAAAAGAAAAAAAAAGCACGCATCTTGATTTACTTATCTTTCTTCTTCTTCTTTTTTTTTCTCCTATTTGACATACCGTGTCTTTTATCAGATTGTTATTTTAACGTCGTCATTTGACGATTATCTAAAAAACAGAATATATTATCTATTTAAATTCAAGAAAAAAAAAAAAAAAAAGATGAAACATATAACTGCACTGATACGGAAGAAAAAATAATATTGCACTTAAAAGAAAACAAAAAAAAAAGATTGTAAAACAAATTAAGCGTTCAATATTATTTAATAACAAATTTTCATTTATCTTTTTAATATATAAATATTTCAAAAGACAAAAAAAAAAAATAAATAAATAAACTTCAAGTTCATTATTTCTTTATGTTTATGAGAAAATTTAATTAAAGGATGTTTTGTCGTCATCATTATTATTTTCAACATGTATATAGATGAATGTTAATAGCCATGGTACACGCAATATATTAAGTATCATAGATTGAAAACCATATTGATAAACAATTATCTGATTTTGAATGTAAAACAGTATTATTAGTTAATGAATGATAATATAGAAATAAACGACTTGTTAAAAAAAAACTATAATAAATACATCAATGGTTTAATATTGAATTAATATCATACTAAATATTTTACAGAACCATGAAAATAGATGTATAACATAAAAATTAGATGTTGTATTTAAAGATTTATAAATATATATATTGCTTGTCTTTTTTTTTTTTTACATTCTGTAATACAATGATTTAATAATGTTAATATAACTGTATGACTAGAAAATATACAATCACCATATGAAAGTACACCTTGAAATAATAATCCTTGAAAAAGAAATATTTATATACAACGAGATAAAATTTCTTCGGAAGTACCATATTTCTAAAACAACAAAAAAAAAATATTATAATATTCAAAATTTATTTAAACGAATATTTATTTTACCAATGGAGTACAATCAAGATGATGACCGAGCACCTAAAATATTAAATACTTCTTGAATTGTATTATCACTTCGATTAAATATTTAACAAAAAAAAAAAAAGAATTCTACTTGAATAATAGATAAGTATGGTATTAGATTAATGTCTTAAATATACATATGTAAATGAAACAATGAAAAAAATCTGAAGAATATTTATACAGTATGAATATAGAATTTAGTAATAAATTTTTGAACAAATTCGAAATAAAGAAGCTTTTTATAGTCTTCATAAAAAGAAAACGTCATTACTAAGTTTATCGAGATACTATAAATTATTTTGTTAGTCATAAAGTTGAATATGATAAGTCGATTTAAGTAACATGACCTTTCTTTTTTTGATAAGTAACTTTACATTTATTCATATTCAAACATATGAACATATGTTCATTTATTATATAAACTAATAATATTTAATTCAGTTTATTTTTCATTATATAAAATATAAATTAATTTGTTCAAAGAGTTTCATCAAACAGAATATTTAATCGTTGGTAAGCTTACATTCTTCTGACGTCAATGAACAATACTAAACATCAATTTCTTCAATATTTATTTGCTCACGAAACAATTCAATATATACAAGTGTGTCTGAGATCGATGGAGTTTGAAAAGAGAAAAGATTGATTAGAGGATTTAAGTTAAAGCTAGTAAAAAAAAAAAGCAAACATTTTTCAAGATTAAAGGATAATTTCGACTAATATGATTAAAAACTTTGACAAACACTTTCATGTCATATTTAATTACACTTAAAGATGTAACTAACATATAGTTATTGATCGTAGAAAACATATTGTTCCACGGAGTGCAAAAAAATCTTCATTCCTAATATAAACACAATAAACAAAGTTATTTAAACCAAAAAAAAAATCAATAGATCTTTTTATTTTGTATTTACCAATATTTATGAAATAGTAAAATCAATAAAAAGTTGTTATTTTTTTTTTTGTGACCACTATTTAAAAATCATACATACATAGTGAAAATACTGAAATTTTCCTTCATTGCCTTCTACATGATACGTTCTATCCAGCTCAATTTTTTAATGAGTACTTTGATGAAATGGGCGTCGATATTTTGTTTTTTTTTGCTACAACATGTTATTCCTATAAAATTTAGCAGCTGTTAAAAGAATAATATCATTGAAAGAAAAAACAAGTTTTTTTTGACATTACTTTCAGTATTTTACTTCTGGAAATGACATTTTTGAAAAGGAAAAAAAAATACCAAGCAGCTTGATTTGATCCTAGTTATTATAATTAAACTTGAAGCTCGAAAAAATGAAGCATAGAGTTTTACGGAAGAAAAGAGAGAACGTCTGGTCAGTTTTTTACTTTAAAAAGCATTAGGAATTTTTGAATCTATGATAAATTTTACTTTACTTATTGAAATCTATCTGTCTTAAAAAGTCTTTATCGAACGATTTTTAAGAAATATTTAGGTAGATTTACTCTTAAATTACTTACAAATATGTGGAATATAATCAAGAAAATAGATCTGGATATTTAAAATAAATTTAATTAATTGTTAAATATGAAAATTAATATTTAACTTTTGTACATTGGGTACACGATTATGTACAACAATCATAATAAATGATGTCCATATTCCACTAATTAATGTATAAATAAAACTGATTAATAAATGTTCTTTTTTCATCTTTTGATTTATTTGAAATAGACATTTGTTGACTATTTATTTGACATGAACTATATATATTATGTATATTTGATTCAAGTAAATATGTTAATAATAATGATGAATGATTATATTTGATAGAATTATTCACAAAAAATTTTGTTGTTTTAAGGATTTAAATAAATAAATTTGTTTATGATTTTTATTTAGTAAACATGATGTAGAAATATTTAATAATGAATAAAAATCATTATATATATGTATATTGATACCATAATTTTTTAATATAAACGTTTAATAAATAATGATGCTTGTTTAAGATCATTTTCATTCATAAGAAGTAATATTAAACTATCGATATCATTTTATTTACAAAATTTGATAAATTAAGTGAATAAAATCATTGTTCAACATCATTTATTGTCCAAAATATAATTGATGATTTTATTAAATTCTTAATTAAATACAAAAACAAAAGTAAATACATAGAATCATTAAAAAAATAAATAAAAACAATACATACAATATAAGAATTATGAAATTCTTATTGTTTAGCGAGTTACTATTTGGCATTATACATTGATTTATTCATAGAATTTTGTTTTCTTTTTTTTTTTTCAAAAAATAAAGAAATATATCGAAACATATTTCTTTAATAGATAAAATAATTAACAGATGCGGACCGAAAATTCTTCTCGATAACGGTTGATTGACATCGTCATATTCTACGTCATCATTTTTGTTTACCATTCCTTCTTGTCTTATTATTTTACACAAGAATAATTGATGAGAACTATATAGGGATAGTTCTCGATAGATGTCATATAAAACCAATCACGAGAGTTCCATTTCTATATACGTAATTCTTTCGTTTGAGATATGACCCTTGCTAATAGTATACATATGTAGTAACACGAACAATAACTATTAGCCTGTACTGTAAATAATTTATAAAACGTTACATTGATAAAGAGATTTATAAGTGCTATTTGTTGTATTAAGTTTCATGTTCATTTATTCTAGATCTTAATTAAAAAAGAAAACCAGAAGTTTCGAGAAAAAGTAAATGATATATCTAACTATCTAAACAATGTTTCATGAAAAAAATAATAAAATTGTGATTATAGCAGAAAAAAATTCATCAATTTCACTATTTAGAATTTAATCAAATTTTTAATATGAATTTTATCAAGATGATCATCATTTACATCAAAGAAAATATAATACTTTCTGGAAAAATCATGCAACATAGATTTCTACCTTATATAGATAATATCATATATGTGGAGTACATTGAAACAATTTTCAACATATTGTACATGTATATATATATCTGAATTATCCATTATGTAATCATCAAAGATCA